GAAACCCTATTTCTCTGTAAACTTTCACTGAAATTAATTTAAAACAAACAAACAAACAAAAAACCACTAAAACTACAGCCTTTCCAGAATACTAAGCAACAATGTCAACTTAAAAACTAAGGTGCGCCTAATCCAGACTGAGTATTTCCATTTGCTACCTGTGCATCTGCAAGTTGGACAGTTAATAAGGATGACTGAAGAAGAATTGTTTCCTTTGAATTTTGGTGTTGTTGAAGACTGTTGAATATAATGAGGATTGCCAAAACACACAAATCTGTCTTGGAGGGATGCAACTAGGATGCTAAGAGGCAAGGACAGGAAAACTTGGTCTGCTATAATTAAGGCATGTTGTCAAAAAAGGCCAGTTCTTGGAAAAAGACATCATACTGGAAAAGAGAGATGGTCAACAAATGAGAAGAATGCTTATAATGGGATGGATGGACTTGAGCATGGTGGAAATTGTGGCTAGAGCCAGGATAGGACATGTTCCAATCTGTTGTTTTTAGGGTCACTATGAATCATAGTCAACTTCGAGATACCTAAGAGCAACAATATAGAATTTTTTTGTTTTGAAAACAAAGTACTAAACCAATAATATGTTGTGAGAAAGTATGAGTTCTACCTCTTTACAGAAGAGTATTTGGCCTTCTAAAAGACTTCTACATTGTATTACTTTAATTTTATTACTTTATATGATTCTATCATCCACAATAAGGAGCTATGTTTAATATTTTAAGAATATAAAAGCTCTATTCTAGTGTTTTCTTGCAATCCACATTGAAGGCTGTACTCTTTGATCTTCTGCAACAAGTGCTTCAATTCCTCCTCACCTTCAGCAAGCAAGGTTGTATCACCTGCATAGTGCTAGTTATTGATGAGTCTTCCTCTGATCTTGATGCCACCTTCTTCATAGAATCCAGCTTCTCAAGTAATTTTTTTTCCCCATACAGATTGAATAGATATGGAGAGAGAATTCAACCCTGACACATTCCCTTCTTAATTTTGAACCATGTAGTCTTCCCTTGCTCTCTTTGCACAACAGTCTCTTGGTATAGGTAAAGATTTTGCATGAGCACAATTAAGTTCTTTGGGATGCCCATTCTCAATGTTAGCCATAACTTGTTATGATCCATAGAGTTAAATGCCTTTATATAGTCAATAAAGTAAATTATAAATAGACATTCTTCTGGTATTCTTTACTTTTGGCCAGGATCCATCTGACATCAGCAATGAGATCCCTGGTGGTATGGCCTCTTCTAAAACCTGTTTAAACTTCTGGCATTTCTCTTTATATATACTGTTCTCACTGTTTTTGAATGATCTTCAGCAGTATTTTGCTTGCATGTGATATTAATGATATTATTTGACAGTTTCCACATTCTGTTAAATCAACTTTCTTGAGAATGAGAACAGATACAGACCACTTCTAACGCACTGGCCAGTCAGCTCTCCTTCAAATTTTCTGTTATAGACTGCTGAGTACATGCAATGCTGTATCTGTTAATTAAAACAAATCAGTTGGTATCCTGTCAATTTGTAGGGCCTTATTTTTTGGCTAACACCTTCAATCCAGCTTCAGGTTCCTCCTTCATTATCATTGGCTATGCATCAGAAAGCTGGACAATGACAAGAGATGATAGAAAGAATTGATGCCTCTGAGCTGTTGTGCTGGAGAAGAGTATTGAATATACCATAGATTGCTAAGAGAACAGATTCATCCTAGAGAAGGTGAAACCAGGCTGCTTCTTGGAGGCAAGGATAGTGAAGCTTCATCTGACATACTTTGGACAAGGAGGGACCAGTTCTTGGAGAGGGATATCATACTTGAGAGGTTGGAGGGACGGCACAAGAGATGAAGACCCTCAATGAGATGGATTGATTCAGTGACTGGGGTAATGGGGATAGGTGTGTCAGAAACAGTAAGATTGGCACAGGATAGAGCAGGGTTTAGGGCTGTCGTACATAAGGTCATCATGAGTTCCAGGAGATTCAACAGCGCATAACAACTGCTTATATGGTACTTCCTGAAATTTTTCAGTGTTAATTATTTTTGGTAGAGTGACTGTTTTTTCTCCATCTTCTTTTGTTGCTTCCTACATCATTCAACATACTCTCTGTAACATCTTTCAATATTGTGACTCAAGGCTTAAATTTTTTTTTTCAGTTCTCTCAGATTGAGAAATGCAGAGCAAGTTCTTCCCTTTTTATTCTCCAATTTCAGCTCACTGTATGTTCCACTATAATACTTTGCTCTGTCTTCTCAAGCGGCCCTTTGAAATCTTCTAGAATTTTCTAGTCAGCTCTTTTACTGTGGTATGTTTTCACTTTTTTTTTTTTCTTTGCTGCTCAGCACTCTAGTGCATTTTTCAGTCTTTTCTGATTTCCATTTCTGGTTGTTGGGTTTGTTTTTTTTGTTTTTTTCTCCTCTGTCTTTGTAATGACCTTTTGCTCTCTTCATGAATGATTTCATTGATGTTATCCCACGACTCACCTGGTCTTTGATCATTGGTGTTCAGTGCTTCAAACTTCTTAAGGTCATTTTGAAAGTTAGGTGGAGTTGATTAAAAATTGCATTTTGGCTCTCATGAACTTGTATTAATTTTCTTCTGCCTCAATTTGAACTTGCATGTGAATAATTGATGGTCTGACCCACTGAGCCTTCAATATGGATTGCATATCAATGTCAAGAAAAAAAAATTCTTACCACTGAACCTATAGCAACATTGATAGATTGAGAAAAGATTGAAACTGTCAACAACTTTATCTGACTTGGTTCCATCGTCAACACTCTGGTGTCAGCAGTCAGGAAATCAGAAGATGTATTGCACTGGGAAACTCTGCAGTCAGGGACCTCTCCAAAATATTGAGGAGTAATGATGTCAGTTTGAGAACTGAGGTCCATCTACTTCAGGTCATGGTCTTTCCAGGTACTTGCTGTGCATCTGAGAGCTGGACAGTGAGTAAGGACAAGAGAAGAGTTGATGCCTTTGAGCTGTAATGTTGGAGAAGAGTGCATATGGACTGCCAAAAGAACAAACAAATGTCTTGGAGAAAGTGCTGCCAGAGTGATCCTTTGAGGAAAACATGGTAAAGCTTCACCTCACATATTTAGGGCACGTTGCTAGGAGAGGCTATTCATTGGAAAGTGACATCATGTTTGGAAAGGTGGTGGATCGATCAAGAAGAGGTTGGCCCTCAACCAGGTGGGTTACCTCAGTGACTGCCCCAATGGGCTCTACTGTATTAGGAAGTGTGATGATGGCACAGGATAGGACAAGGTTGAGATCTGTTGTTCATACGGTTTAACAACAATGACAACATGCTAGTGTTTTATATCTCTGAGCTGATTGACAGCATAATAATACATGATGAAGAGATTGAGATTGTTAACAGCTTTCGTTTGCTTGGCTCCACAATCAACGCTTTTGGCACTAGCAGCCAGGTAATTAAAAGTTGAATTGCACTGGGAAAGTCTGCCATTAGAGACTTCTCCAAAGTACTGAAGAGCAACGATGTCACTCTAGAGACTAAGGTGTGCCTGATACATGCCATGATCTTTGCAGTCACTTGCTATACATCAGAGAGCTGGACAATGACTAGGGATGATAGAAGGATAATTGATGCCTTTGAGCTGTGATGTTGTAGAAGAGTGTTGAATATACCATGGACTACCAAGAGAACAAATAGGGTCTTCCTGGAGAGAGTGAAACCAGGCTGGCTCCTTGGAGGCAAAGATTCTGAAGCTTCATCTGACATACTTTGAACATGTTGCAAGGAGGGTACCAGTCCTTGGAAAGGGACATCATGCTTGGGAGAGTAGAGGGATAGCAAAGGAGAGGAAGACCCTTAATGAGATAATTGATTCAGTGACTGGGTAATGGGGGTAGGTGTTTTGGAGACAGTGAGATTGGCACAGGATAGAGCAGAGTTTAGGGCTGTTATGCATAGGGTAGCTATGAGTCACAGGCAACTCCACAGCACATAACAACAACGGTGTTTTATATACATTATAACAAAGATATAATTAACACACTAACCATATGAGGTGTCAAGAGTCAGAAAGCAGTTTTATAGAGGATGAAACTAAAAAGTTCAGTACCTTAACCAGGCTAGTAACTACCACTAATAAATATTAAGCTGATTTATTTCTATTTTAAAACTATCAACTTCCTAGAGTTAAAATTGTGGAGCTTTTAATTTGTTAATGTTGCCAGAAGAGAGTGGGGCGTGGGTGTGTGTGTGTGTGTTTGTATTTTCTCTTGAGTCCTTCAATCCTTGCAATCTCCTCAGTTCTGGAGGCTAAAAGTCTAAATAGAGGTTCAGCCACTTTGAGTCCCTCTGTGGTCTCCTGCTGTTTCTTATGTTTGGGTGTACTACTTTGTATCCTTTGTTTATAGACATGCTTTACATGTTGTCTTTCTCCCCTCATGTATGGTCTTTTCTGCTCCTAACTCATAATTTACATCATCCACATGAAAAACAAAATCCCTGATTCCAAACAATGTTGTATTTACAAGCATTTGAGTTACAATTGAGAATTAATCCAAACTAGTACTTACAAATTTATACCCTATAGATATTAAATTACATTTCAAATAAATTAGTTTTTACCTTGGATCATATTACAACCTAGAGCAAACTAGGTTATATTCCTAATTGAGTCATTGGGGCCTACCAAAGAATGGTGGACTCCAAAATTTTCCACCTCTGGATGAACAGTTTAGAGTTGTATTTTTTCCATTTTATTCAGGATACTGTTATTGAAATGATAACTTTTTACTAATATTGTTTCAAAATATCTGTATAGATTTGAATAGTACATGTTTTGATCCTTAGCACTCAGATTATTATTTTATGTTTACATTCCTATTCAGTGCTTAACCAGTTTTGCTCAGATAACTGTTATTGGAGTATATTAATTTGCCATGTGACAACATTTTTATTCCTTGTTCTACTATGATGTAATGGAATGGATATGTCTCTTGTGAATTTTATTTCAGTGCTAGTGATGCCATTAAAGGAGAAGGATTGCAAGAAGGCGTAGACTGGCTTCAAGGTACATCCCAAAATATTGTACAATTCTAGTTCTTGTTTCCTTTCCATTCACATATTTATTTGCTTATTTGTATTTGATTTTTATCATATCATTGCTTTTCCCCCTCATTTCCACTTCTTCCTGCTGTCAGAAAAAGTAATACAGTAAGTATGTAGTATCTTGCTTCAGTTCCTTCTATTTAATTTTTCTAAAAGATTTGTTTAAATAACATGATTACATGTATACATGACAACTCTAGAATATTGATGTAATGTCTGGCAATAAAGTTTTATCAGATCTGGTAATAAATGCTTGTTTAAGTTTTGAATTAAATGTTAATCCTTACTGTAAGTAACCAAAAAAAAGTAGCAGCTTTTAAAATCATTTACTTTATATAGCTCCATTTATGTAGAGCATATTGACATAAATTTTAACATTACTATTTAGAGTTAAAATAATTGCATTTTATGCATTTCTAGTTCTCTTTGTTTTTTTATCAAAATAGTAAGCTGTGTGATAGGTTGGTACACACTTACTGTGTTGTTACTTTTGTTAGCAGCTGTCCAGTAGGTACTAGACACAATATGGCTTTGTAAACAATGGAGCTAAATGCTTTACACTGGCTGACTTTCTTAGCCTGGAAGCTCCACTGAAACATGTTCAGGATTATAGCTACATTAAATGCCTCTACTGATAGACAAGTGATGCCTTATCATTATGTCATTGTTGTTATGTGCTGTCGAGTCACTTACAACTCACAATGACTCTAGTACAACAGCTCTGAACCCTGCTCTATCCTGAGCCAACCTCATTGTCTCTGACACATCTACCCCCCATTACCTCACTGAGTCACTCCATCTCATCCAGAGTCTTCCTCTCTTGCACTGCCCCCACCACCCTTCCAAGGACTATTGTCATTCTCCAAGGACTATTCGCTCCCTGAAACATGCCCAAAGTATGTCTGATGAGTCTTCAAAATCCTTGCCTCCAAGGAGAAACTGAGTTTCATCCTCTCCTTGACAAATGTATTTTTTTCTCCCAGCAATCCATGGTTTTTTCAATACTCTTTTTCCAGCACCACAACTCAAAGGCATTGATTGATTCTTCTATCATCCTTGGTTAATTGTCCAGCTGTCTGGTGTATTTGCGAAGTAAAGTAATTGCGAAGACCATGCCCTGGATCAGGTGCACCTTAATATCTAGACTAACATCCTTGCTCTTCAGTGCTCTGGAGAGGTCCCTGATAGCAGGTTTTCCCAATGCAGTTTGTCTTTTGATTTCCTGGTTGCTGGTACCAAGAGTGTTGACTGTGGAGCCAAACAAGCTGAATCTTTTAACACTCTCAATCTCTTCACTGTCTATCATGATGTTGCCAATTGACCCAGTGGTGAGAATCTTTGTTTTTTTGATGTTGAGCTTCTATCCATTTTGAAGGCTGCAGTCCTTGATCTTCTTCAGCAAATGCCTCAGACACTTCTCAGTTTTCACAAGCAAGGTTGTGTCATCTGCCTAAAGTGGTTGTTGATGAGTCTTCCTCTAATCCTGATGCCACATTTCTTCTCATAGAGTCCAACCTTCCAGATGATTTGTTCCACATATAGATTGAAAAGGTATGGAGATAGGATGCATCCCTGGCTTACATCTTTCCTGAGTTTGAACCATGCAGTATGTCTTTACTCTACTCTGTTCTACCACCTGCTTTCTGGTCCAAGTATAGGTTTCACATAAGCACAATCAAGTGTTTTGGAATTTCCATCCTTATCAGAGTTAGCCACAGTTTGTTGTGATTCACACAGTCAAATGCGTTTTTATGGTCAATGAAACAAAGATAGACATTCCTCTGGTACTTCCTGCTTTCAGCTAAGGTCCTTCGAACATTGGCTATAATACCCCTAGTACCACAGCCTCTTCTAAAGCCAGACCGCCCATCAAGAAATTCTCTGTTGATTTGCTGCCCCAGTTATATTTGGATAATTTTTAGCAGGTTCTTGTTTGTATGTGATATTAGTAATATTATTCTATAATTTTCACAATCTATTGGACCACCTTTTTTTGGAATGGGGATAAATATGGATCTCTTCCAGGCAGTTGGCCAGATGGTGGTCCTCCAAATTTCCTGGCACAACTTGGTGAGTGTTCCTAGGACAGAATCTCTTTGTTAAAATATGCCAGTTTGTATACTGTCAATTCCTGGGGCCTTGTTTTTTGCCGGTTCCTTTAGAGCAGCTTGAACTTCCTCCATCACTGCAAGCTCTTGATTATATTTTGTTTCATAAAATTCTTCCATGTCAGCAATTCTTTTTGGTATAGTGACTCTGTACTCTATGCATCTTCTTTTTGTATGCTTCCTGGACCATTCAACATTCTACCCACAGGAATCTTAAGTATTGCAACTCTAGGCTTAAATTTGTTCTTCAGTTCCTTCAGCTTAGGAAATGCTGAATGAGCTCATCCTTTTTGATTTTTTTCAACTCTTTGCACATTTCATTGTAATACTTTGCTTTGTCTTCCCTTTCTGCCATTTGAAATTTTCTATTCAGATCCTTAACATCTTGATTTCTTCCCTTTGCCACCCTCTCAGTGTTCAGAGTCCGTTTGGTCCTTTTCTTCTTCCTCCATCTTTGACCTTTTGCATTCTTCATGGAGGATATTATTGATATCCTCCATAGCTCTCCTGGTCTTTGCTCATTGGCATTCAAGGCCTCAAACCTGCTCCTGGGATATCTTTAAATTCAGGCGGGATAGACTCAACATCAAATTTTGGTTCTTGTAGATTTTATTTGATTCAATTTTCTTTAGCTTCAGTTTGAACTTGGGTACAGATGGTTGATGATGATCCACAAACAGCACCTGGCCTAGTTTTCACAGCTAATAATGATCTTCTCCAACTTTTTCCTACATATGTAATCAGTTTTATTCCTGTGTAGCCATCAGGTGAGGTCCACGTGTATAGTTGCCATTTGTGTTTCTTATAAAAGGCATTTGCAATGAATAAAATCCTTGATTGTACAGAATTCTTTCATTCTGTCTCCAGCCTCATTTCTGTCACCAAACCTAGGTTTCTCGACTACTGATCCTTCTTCCTTTTCCCCAGCTTTTGCATTCTCTTATTACTAGTGTATCTTGGTTGTATGTTTAATCCATTTCTGATTAAAGTAGTTGGTAGAAGACATCTATTTTCTCCTCTTTGCTCTGATTGTTGGTGCATAAATTTGAATGATAGTGGTGTTAACGGGTCTTCCTTGTATGCATATGGATATTATCCTGTCACTCATAACATTATATTTCAAGATAGTTCCGAAATTAGTCTTTTTAAATATTAATGAAACCCTATTTTTTCACCTTTTTATTTCCAACATAGTACAACATATGATTGTCTAATTCAAAATGTCCCATGCCAATCCTTTTCACTTTGCCAATCCCTAGTATATCAATATTTGTGCATTCTTTTGTTCCTTAACAATCCCCAGTTTTCTACATTCATACTTATCACATTCTACATTCCAATCATTATGGTCTGTTTGCAACAGTTCCTACTCCTTTGTGATTCCAAACAGGAAGGCTTAGCGCTCCAGTGCCATATCTGCTAGTCTAACTAAGTGTGCTCTCTTGTACATAGGGTGTTTGAAGGTCTGTTATTTCGGAAGTGGATGGCCAGTCCTTCTCCCTAGTCTATTTTTTATGGCATATTTGTTTACTGCACAGACTATTTGTATTGTATTTTTGCCTCTCTTGCATTTATACAGTCAGCTTGACATTTTTCTTTAATGGCCATATTCTAAGGAGATTTTTTAAAGTTTGAGAACATCTAATATTTCTCTAAAGAACCCTATGGCCTTTTTAGACAGTAGTAATAAAGTAGATAAAATTATAAAACTTATTACCTCAAAGAAACAGTGGATTACAGAGGAACATTCCAAAGAAGAAGCCATAAAGCATCGTTTTATTCCAAACTTTGTAATTTACAAATGCTTAGCATTGCTTATAATGAAGATATAGCAAGGATGGGTATTTCACTGTTGTTTATAATAAAGTAATTCAAAGTGTTGTACTTACTTGAGTGTCAGTCATCTTCATTTTAAATTTTAGTTTTGTCATTCTTTTTCCTTTTGTTTTATTGCATCTATAACAGTTGAACCACTAGGTGTCAGAATGATCCAGTATCACAGTGTGACTTGCCCACTCTAGTTTTGCTGCCTAATTCTTCTTTCTTTTACTTTTTGGATTCATTATATCTGTGTCTTACCTCCCAAGTCTTTGTTAGGAGGATACATTATTGGAAATATCTTTGTGTTTTTATGTTATAGTATTTTGTGTTATCTTTACAACAACTCTTTGAAAGGTAAGTAGTATTTCTCCATTTTATCTTGACAGCATTAAAAAGAGTAATGATCCAAAATTTTATTCTCTTAATATCTCTACTTGTAATTAAGTTCTAATATTATCTAATGGAGATAATTTTCTTCATCTAAAGAGAAAAAAATAAAGATTATACCAATTAGTTGAAACATTTTATGTTTATTCAAGTATTCAATCATGTTAAGTTTACCCTTTTCAAGTAAAAAAGCTTTAGTTAACAGAGAAGAAAACTTTACATAGTTAATAAGTGTATCCAATAGTAAACAGTTTATATTTTGATGATTCCAACTATATTCTTAAGTTGGAAAAAAGGTCTAAATCTGATTTGCAAAGTATGTGGCAATAAGTACAAGGAATTTCTCAGGACCTATAGCTCTTCACATGTTAAACAAATCATTTACGTATACCTGACCATGAAAGATATGCTGAACTTCCATTTCTTTGTTTTGTTTTGGGTTTTTTGCTTCCATAATTGTAAAACTTTCTAGCATGAGAACCAAAAAGACCTTTCACTCATTAGGGACCAATCTAGTCTTACTACTTTATGTTTTGCATTGAAAACTCTTCAGTAAAGTAACAGTTATCTCATGTGTACTGCCATGAGTCTGTTTTCTTTCGGAAGAATTTTTCAGTAGTGTCCTATGTATTACATCCCAAAATGAGAAAATCCCTAAGTTCACTATGAAGATATTTTAAGCCACCAAAGAATATACAGAATCTACTGCAGACCTCTAAGTCATTTTCTAGCCTCCTGAAACCTTCAAATAAATATTTTTAAAAGAAACATTTTTTGTGAATCTCTCTTCTCTGGACAACAATATATATAATGTTTCTAGTTTTTAATGTAATATTTTATAAATAGTGTATATAGGGGTTCAAGTGAAATATGAATGGTTCAATACACATCACTTAGCATTATTCTTTCTTCAAATTACACTGATTAAACAGGCAGTTTTTAAAAGGCCTTATCTCATGAGAACAAAAATTAAAAAATGAGAACAATGAAAATAGCAACCAAGTTTTGAGAGAAAGTGGAGAAAACTGAGAAATAGCATAGTGCATCTCCTCAAAGACTCAGATATGGTGAAAATGGATTGAATAAAGGTGAGGCTAGAAAGAAACAGCCCTTATTTCAAATGAAGAGCAACAGTTTATTTTCTGCTGAGAATCACAGAGACCGTCCAGACTGGAGCAAACAAGGCACAATTTTGATACAGACAGACCTAAAAATGAAGATTAACTTAAAGTTTTGATAATGAATATTGTAACTTTCTTCTGCCTTCTTTGACTTCTTTCATAGTCTTGACAATAGACAGGAAACAATAGTAATCTTTGAAGAATCAGAGTAGTCTAAGTTAAAAGACCTAAAAGATATTAATGTTAAAATTCTCAAAGAAATGTCTTAGCCATACACCTAAGAATGAAGACCCATTTGACATTTCCAAATTCCACTAAACGTTATAATGTCTGGGGAGCTCAGATGGCAGTGGTGCAGTCCATAGGGAGTTAGTTACTTTGTTCACGCAAAAGCCACACCTCTCTGGCGGTTATAATTCATTTTACCCTTGAGACAAAAATAGGTGGTTGTCTTCTAGCCTACAAACCTGATGGAGGATCAGCTATGAGTCAGTTTTGTATTGGTAGCAGTGAGCGTACTTCAATTTTGTCTTAAAGCCCAGTGAGAAAACAACTGTACCCCTTGGGCTTTGTGCAGCTCCATCCTTCTAGCCCAGCTAAGTGGCAACCCCACTTTCTCAGTCCTAGTGGCATTATAGCCTCATTCCCTCAGCTTTGGGAAGCAATACCATCCCCCTGTAATTTATTGACAGCACCACACTCTGTCACTGAGTTGGTGAAGATAAACCCCTTTGAAATCTAGCCAGCTAGGCCCCACCCTTAAAAACTGAGAAGATCCTGCCTGGCATGTCCCTTTTAAGAGTTCTATTGATCACAAACTTCTCCAGGCCTAGTCTATTTCTGGTTTTGGAGGACAGCAGATAACACCCCTTTGGCCTGACTTCTGCTTGTAGAATTCCAAGAGGCAGGTGGTGACCTTTCTCTTCCTTTATTGCCCTCTTCAAAATAATCTGATGGGGTTTGTTTACTGTGGTCATTGGCTATAGACGCAGGCAAAATCTCTTAACAAAGAATTATGTAGCCATATCCTGGTGAACATTCTAGGATTCTTGTTCCTAGTTTATATAACAGAATTTTTCAGATCTTTGCTTCCCTTTTGCACAATTCATTTTAAATCTTTGTCTTTCCTTTTAGATGTTATCATTTGTGGCAAAGAAAAAACAGGTAGCTCCTTTCAGATCTTGCCTAGGAATCTCCTCAGCCAAATAATTCAAGTTCTTTAATAAATTCTACCTTTTCCAAAATATTTGAACATAATTCAGACAAACTCTTTACTACAACAGGAAAAAACATTCCCCATCCTCCACTGTTCAGTTACATGTTCAGTTCTTCTAAAATTTTTCTAGAAGTACATTTAAAATCCATATTTTAGCAACATCCAGACAACAAAGACATTATCTGTGATTCTCCTCACTTCCTTCTTACCCCTGGTCAGAATGGCTTTTGGTGACCATAATTCTACTGTCTTTTCAAGACAGTCTAGGCTTTTATTGTTATGTGTGATCACATCAACTCCAATTCAGCCACCCTGTGATCAAAATCTTGACATATCCTGCACCATCTTCATAATCACTGCCGTGCTCAGGCACATTGTTGTGATCACTATGTCACTCCATCTCATTGAGGGTCTTCCTTTTTCTTTCCAGAAATAGCAACCACATGCCCAAAGTATTAGGATGAAATTTCACCATCCTTGTCTCTAAGGAGCAACCTGGTTCCATTCCTCCAGGAGAGCTTGTATATTCAGTAGCCCTCACTAACACCACAGCTCAAAAGCATTGATTCCTCTTGATCTTCTTATTGTTATGTACCTTCATGTAGGAACTAATACATTGGGTTTTCAGAAGCAGTAAGTCACATAATCTTCTAAGTCACGTCTTCTCACATACTTGTTATGCTTCAGAGAGTTGGACAGTGACTGAGGCTGATATGAGAATAGATGCCTTCAAGTTGTGGTGCTGGAGAAGAGTCATGGACTGCCAAGAAAACAAATAGTTCTGTCTTGGAGAGTGTGAAACCAAGTCTCTCCTTGGAAGCCAGGATTTTGAAGCTCTGCCTCACTTACTTTGGACATGTAGCCATGAGAGACTGATCCTTGGAGAAGGACATCATGCTCAGAAGGGTAGAGCGACAGCGCAGAAGAGGGAAACCCCAGATGAGATGGATTGATAACAGTAACTGGGGCAATGGGGGTTGGTGTATCAGAGTTAGTGAGACTGGCTCAAGACAGAGAAGGGTTCAGAGCTGCTGTAAATAGGGTTACTATACATCACAGCCAACTAAATGCCACATAACAACAATAACATTCCACTTAACAACATAACAACATGCTCGTGGAAACTTTATGAACTTTGATAAATGTCGATAGTTGTAGCGGAGCTTCAGGCTTTTTGTTCATAGGGTCGCTATGAGTCACACTCGACTTGAAGGCAATCAATAAGTCACAATAGTGCTGCTATTTCACAAATACCACAAGTGGGTATTTTTAACAAACAGAATTTACTCTGTTTAGAAAGCCAGCAGTCTAATTCAGGGGACCAGTCCTTGGAAAAGGGACATCAAGCTTGGAAGGGTGGAGGTACAGCGTAAGAGAGGAAGATGCTCAATGAGATGGATTGATTCAGTGACTGGGGTGATGAGGGTGGGTGTGTCAAAGACAATGAGGTTGGCACCAGATAGAGCAGATTTGAAGGCTATTGTACATAGGGTCACTATGAGTCTCAAGTGACTCAGTGCTACATAACAGCTACAGTTCTAAGAAAAGTCACCTACTCTCTGGCAATTCTAGGGTCATTGCGTCTTCTTAGGAAGTCTTTATGTGTCTTCCATAATCTCTTTTACCCCATTTCTGCTGCTTTCATTTACTGTTTTATCTTTTAAGAAAAATTAATTTAAAACACACCATACCATAATCATTAACATAAAAAAGACAACCCATTCTCCAGTGGGTTTATGTGTTGTTATTATTAAGTGCCCAGTAGGTTCTGATTCACAGTGACCCTGTGTACCACAGAAGGAAATCTTGTCCAGTCCTGTCTCATACTTTTAATCTCTCAGTGCTTAAGCCCATGATGTCAGTCCATCTCGTTGAAGATCTTTTCTTTCATTGCTTTCTGCTTATCCAAGCATAATATATAGAGCTTGGGGTTTGCAAAGTAGTATAATTTGGGGGTACAATTCCATCAATAGCAAGTGCCATGTTTATGAGACCTAATATTCAAATAATAATTGTAATTAAGAACAGAGAAAATGAGAGAACAAATCCTCAAATGCTCAAACTGAATAGAACAACGTGTTTTCAGTTTGAAAAGTCTCCCAAGAGCCAGTGCAGTGAATAAAAATATTTTCACACCAAGGCACAGCCTGATGAAACTTTGAACACTAAGAACAATGGAAGAGTCTACAAATCTCCTGAGAGGGAAAGAGCAGTTTTCGAAGTATAAGGAAACATATGGCATCAAGTTTCTCAACATCAACAGTTGGACGCTAGAAGATAATCTGAGCAATGCCTGGAAAAGGCAAGGCAAATGTGACGGAAAGATATTCTTGTACAATATTCATGTAGGACAAAAAGATATTTCAGCCATGTAAAGTTGTAAAGCTTTTTGTTGTCTTTCTTTTGTTAAAGTGTTCATTAAGAAGCTTATTTATAAGAACAAGTAATCCAAGAAGAAGAAAATAGTTGTGAAACACAGAAACATGAATGGGGAAAGGAAGCCCTTCGACAATAGTGGACATCCTAGAATAAAAATGAAATCTCCTAAAACATAGTCATTTGGTAGGTGTGAAGAACAGCTAGCCTAGATTGAAGGATTTGGTTCTTCAAGAAGATGAAAGTGGTAGACTATATCATATGTTGAAACATGGTAAAAGATTTAAACAGAATGAGAATATTGGAGTTGCATTAGTGATAAGTACTTTACAAAACTAAGTAAAGCAAAAGGAGAAGGCAGTTATAACTACAGGGGAAAAAAAGATGGAGAAAGGGAGAGGAAAAATAATCATAGTATACTACTTTTCTTAGCTGTGAATGACATTTATATGGCTATCATTAATTATGACTACTTCAATGTGTAAGAAGAATGAGGCTTAGAAGCATCTTGATAAGTTAGACAGTAGCAGCACAAAAGTATGTGAAAGTGAACCGAATCCTCTTCTTGAAGGAATGTCTCGTTTAAGAAGTATATAGTAAAATGTATATTCCACGATAGTGAGGTATACTAAATTTTCTTTCTCCTTTCCTATCGAAACTGACTCATAGCTAATGCTCCAATGGGTTTTCAGAGCCTTTAAGTCTCATAAGGAGGAGATTGCCCATATTTCTCCTGAAGACAGTCAAATTGCCAGGCTTTGGATTGGTACCGCAGTTCTTACCACCTGAATGGAACTCAAATTAGTTACTTTGAAAGAGAAGAAAAAGGCTGAGGCAATGAACTATTTTTCATTTAAGCATTGTAGAACTCTTTAAATATATGCTTTGCTTTTTAAATATATGTGTGTTCAACTTTAATTAAAACTTTATTGTGAATGGGCAATCTCCTCCCAGTCTGCCTCTGAAAACCTGATAGAGGGTCAGCTGTTGGTCATTTCAAACTACATGGTACACAACAGCATGTTATTAATTAAGTTTTTCAAAACTACACATGTGCATATGTTTCTGCCATATTTTCTAGAATTGTTTTTCATTTTCCCCTTGTGCACTCAATTTTTGATGGTTTTTGTTTGTTTTTTGTTAATCAGATCAGATCCAGGCTGTGAAGACTTGAAAAGATAGAGTTTGGAAACTTTGGCAATTGTTAATTCAAGAAATGCATATATTTGAGGAAATCTGAATACTGTAAAGTTTTCAGAAGATTTTTATTTTGCATCTAAGAATATGTGATCATCTTCTGCTTGCATTTATGGACTCTGAATGAACTTTTTGAGAATCTAGGACTTTAGGTGTACTAATCTGGCCATTAATTATATGAAAACTTAATCTTCTCTTAGAAGGGCTCCTTAGACTTATCAGCATCCTGGTCACAATCTACACTCAACTATAATTAGAATGTTTAAAAGTCAAAGTTAAAAGCAAGCCTGACTCATCATGATTTATTATGTCATTTACACATTCTATTTTAGAAATTGTCTGGTTTTAAATTTGTTATGATATAACTTCACAGTGTGAATTGTGCTTATAAAAGAAAAACTTTAGATGTATATATTTATATGGGACCATGGGTAATTGATATATATTAATTTTGTGCTCTTTGTCACCATTAATATGAAATGTACCAAGTGGTATCTTTTGTTTATGATGAAGACAGTAAATTTATATTAAAATTATATTTGATGTTTTACTTTCTCTCATATATAAATCGTAAGAAGTCACATTAAGTTAATTGTATTTGTTCAATGACTTTATGCCTTGCTTTATTGTACTTCACTTTATTGGACTTTGCAGATACCATGTGTGTTTATTTTTAATGAACTGAAGGATGTAGTAACCCTACATCAAGCAAGTCTACTGGTGACACTTTTCAAACATGTGTTAGCTCTTGTCTCTCTGTCACATTTTGGTAATTCTTGAAATATTTCAAACCTTTTTATGATGCTTTTGCACACTTCCTAGTGTACAGAATAGTGTAAATAAACTTTTCTATATCCTGAAAGACAAGACATTTCGTGTTTATTTCCATATCCACTCTCTTATGGCATAATCTTGGGTAATGGAGATGCAAGGAATAAGGCATAGTCCTTGCTTCAGAATACAGAATATAATAAAGGAGATCTTGAGGTCCTTTTTATATATAGTATCTGGTTTTTCAGATTGAATGTAAAGAATGAGTCTTGAATTAAAGCGAATTAATGTCAGCTTCTTCAGTAATTTTTATAACTGATTGTTTTAAAATCCCTCCAATATAATACTTTGTTAAAAATAGATTTAATCACTTAACTTTGCTTTCACTGATTATAAATAGCTTCATTTTTATTATTTACTATTTTAGACATAGCCCATGTGTATTAGCAAAACTGTATACAAATTTTTTTTATCTTATTAAATTTTATTAGTTTTAATGAACATTTACAGGGATTTCGGGTTTTCATTCCTTCATTGCTGCACCATTCTCTCTACCCTCCTCCCCAGTTTGTTCTTCTCCGCCGTATGTCTGTTTTAATTGTCCAATTGCCACAGTGCTTGTCAAAGTCAGTTCTGATTAATCTCCTTTGTCGGTGTGTCCTTTGCCATTCCCTATCACTCCTCCCTGAGAGAGACTTCACCCTGAGTCATAAGGAAAAGGGGATGGCGTATTCTCTTAGCTACTTCCTGCTGAAAAGGGACGCTGTGGGTTTCAGGGTGAAGATCTTCTCTCACTACTCTAAAGGGCCCCTTTGGCAGTAGGAAACACATAGACTATTATGGAGATTGATTTTGGAATTTAGATGCACTCTTATTGATTGTGCTTGGCCGTACATGTTCATATCCTTGAAGATGTCTCATGGGGGTGTTGCAACCTAGAAGACACAAATTTAACTAGCAAGTTATAAGTACATGAGTCAGAAATTATGGAAAAGTAAAAGAAAAGATTCTTTCATTGTTTTACAAACCCTCCCCCAGGTCGCCTCCACCATGTAGCCATCGCTCTAGACTCCTGTGATGACAGAAATACCTAGTCACATATCTCTTTTACACAGTTTTCTCCCTCCTCTGTTTCAGTGCAGTATACATTATTGAACCCATCTTACTCAGTCTCTCCCCAACCCCAAGGACAGTCCCATTCTACAACAGTGGCATCATGTAATATTTGTCCTTTTGTGACTGGGATATTTCACTCAGCATAATGTTCTCCAGAGTCAACCATTTTGAATAATATTGCATGAGTTCCTTGTTTTTTAATGCAGCATAGTATTCCATTGTGCGAATATACCACAGCTTCTCTAGCCATTCGTTTGTTGATGGGCACTTAGATTGTTTCCAACTCCTTGCTATTGTGAACAAAGCTGCAATAAACATGGGAGTGCATATATCTGCTTGGATGTCAGCTATGGTCTCTTCAAAACTGTATACAAATTTTGAAACTTCTCACTAAAGACTGCATATAATTGTAGTCTCTGACTACACTGGGAAACAATTTATAGTGACTGTATTAATCCTGGGGAAACAAAGTGTCCATACAAAATGACTGCTACATGACATTTAATTTCTTGACATCTATAGCTTTGAAAGAAGAAAAATTGATGTCTTTGAACTATGGTGTTGGAGAAGGATACAAATATCCCATGGAATGCCAAAAGAACAAACAGATCTTGGATAAGGTGCAGCCAGAGTGCTCCGTAGAGGCAAGGATGACGACGCTTTCATGCATACTCTGGACATGTTGCTAGGAAAGGCTATTTCTTGGAGAAGGACATCATGCTGGGAAAGGTGTCGGGCAGCAAAAGGTGAAGACCCTCAACCAGGTGGATTGACACAGTGACTACAGTAGTGGGCATGAGTGTGCCAGAGATTGTGAAGGTGGCACAAGATAGGATAGGGTTCAGATCTGTTGTTCATAGGGTCCCTATGAGTCATACTTGACTCGATGGCACCCACCAGCAATGTAGCTGTGAAAATTTTTATATCACAAGGCAAAAGGTTAATTAGTAATAAAAATGTGTCCTGGTAATTGCTATAGTGGTGTACGTTTTGCAAAGATTTGAGTAAAATAGTTGTAAAATTACGATGAAAATGCTGCCGTGCAGTTTCTCTTACACAATAAATGTCAGTGATTTGAGAAATTAAAACTTATCCAGAAAATACCTAACTTAGGAATGTAAAGCAATTATTTGGATTTATAGGCAACCAGAACCTAGCCTGGCCCAGAAAGAATTCATGGCAGATCAAAACCCATTGCCACTTTGTAGGTTTACTCATAAAGAAGTAGAAATCATTTATTCATACTTTTAATATAGATTGGACTTCCAGCTTGCTGTGACCAATAGGATGTGGCAGAACACATGTTCAAATTTCAAAGCCTGTCTCATAGGTTGACTGACAATGAGCATAGGAATCCCAGAACATTTAATTGTACTCATGCAAAACCTATACTTAGAACAAGAGTTGATTGTCTGAACAGAGCAAAGAGACACTCACTGCATGGTTGAGAATCAACAAATGTGTCGGGAGTGTATCCTGTCTCCATACCTATTCAGTGTGTATGCAAAGCACATCATTTGATCAGCTTGATTTTTACTTGGCTTTATGAAGAGGAATGTCTCATCAGAATCAGAAGAAACCTCATCCACAGTCCACATTATGCTGATGAAAACCTTGCTTGCTGAAAGTGAGGAGACCTTGAAATGCTTGCTGGCAAAGATCAAGCACCACAGCCTTCAATATAGACTACATCTCAACATTAAGAAAACAAAATCCTCTTCATTGGGCCAATATGCAACATCATGATAGATAGAAGATTGAACTTGTTAATGATTTCATCTTACTTGGATCCACAATCATTGCCCTTGGTACCAGCAGTCAAGAAATCAAAACATATATTGCATTGGGGAAATTTTCAGCCAAGTGCCTCTCCAAGGTGCTGAGGAACAGTGATGCCATTTTAAAGACCTGACCCAAGCCATGGTTTTTTCATTTACTGCCTACGCACCTGAAAATCGGACAAGGAATGAGGATGACAGAAGAAGAA